GTTAGGAAGATTATAAAAATTCGCTCTTTTAAAGTGCAGCTTATTATTCTCAATTGCTAAATGCGATTACTCTGCTCTTTTTTTTTTCATTTCTTTTGATGTCATATGTGAGCATCCTGTAATTTAGTTCATTTGTTCAGGGTAAAATCTGAAACAAAAAATTTTACCTGTGCAAAATAGTTTTTTAAAAATTATCCATGTAGCTCAACTTGAGGTACTGCTATATAAATATTCACTCTTACATTATCACGGAATTTATGTATAATTTCTGTAATATAGAAGATAAAATTGATGTCCTCATAACTTTAACAAAGAAAACCCTCAGTCCTATTTATTAATGGTTAGAATTAAATATATAATTTTATAGCTCAATTTACCCAGTATTGATTTGCAAAGCCAGATTGCTCTTACTGCTTTTATATTTTTAAATTGTAGCTTTTAGAGACCTATGATCCTCATGGAACTTAATTTTTTATTAAATATTCAGGTAACAGTTCTGAATTCATGTGATAATGGTGGCATTGTGTATGATTAAGCACTTCAGAACTTTCTAATGTTATCAGGAGTATTTTGAGGGAGATATGATTATATTGTATTTTCTCAGATAAGAAAAATGTTTTTTAACAATATTATTTTAATCTGTTTTAAGCATCTCTTAGATTTACATTATAACTATGTAAAGCAGTGAAGCAAAGGCAATTTAAGATAAAGCTAGAAAGTCTGAACATTTTATTTCAAAATCATATGAATTGAGGTTGTCACTTAAGCCTCAGTATTCTTAGCTTTTGATTTTGTCGCTATCTTTATATTATTAAAGATATTTGTCTTTTGGATATTTCATATAAAGATGGCTATAATTACATATTTCATTCCCAATTTGTGTGTGTTGGGGGGTACTTTTAAAGGTGACTATTGTTTTGTACATCTAATTTTGGGAAAGCAAGTCTGTAAGTCATCTTGTGATTTCTTAATGTTTTTGTTTGTATGTTTTTCAAAGATACCACTGTCCTTTATCATGTTTTGAAGATTGTTTAAAATTCGTTTTCCTAAATTAATGTGCAAATAATGTTTTGAGGATATCAGTGTTTTATATTAAACATATTTCCAATTCATTAAATTGAGGTGTAATTTTTTTCCTTAAGAAACATGAGTTACTGTTAGAAATAAATTTCCAGTTGTATGCTGCTCTGTGTATATCGTGAAATTGATGCTTATATTAATTTTTCCTCATAGTTTAACAAGCATATAGTTTGAGTGTCATTTCAGTTCAGGGAAATTATTTTAACATCTACTACTAGCAGGCATTTTGCTAGGCACAAAAAGTGAATGATAGCTTTTGTTCCTGAGTCATTTATGGACATGTGAACATTTTAAATATTTTCTGGTAAGAACAACCATAGAGTTGCTTTGGGAATGCAGGAGGGAGCTCAGCCTAGAGGGGTGTGTGTGTGTGTGTGTGTGTGTGTGTGTGTGTTACTGAGGCGGTAGAGAGACAGGGGGCTGTTAGTGAACAAAGCAAGCCTTCCTCGAGAAGATAATATTATTTTAAATTCACAGCTCCTAGGATGTTACAAAAAAAAAAAAAATAGAAAAAATTAGCCAGGCGTGGTGGCGGGCGCCTGTAGTCTCAGCTACCAGGGAGGCTGAGGCAGGAGAATGGCGTGAACGCGGGAGGTGGAGCTTGCGGTAAGCCAATATCGTGCCACTGCACCCCAAAAGAATGAGGAGATCCCTGGGCGACAGAGCGAGACTCCGTCTCAAAAAAAAAAAAAAGTTATTTAAATCATATCCAATCACCTAATTAGGACTTTTAAAAAGTTTAATACCTTTTGAAATCAACTTATTTTATGCCAAGAGGAAAAATAGGTTTAGACTTGGCATATAGAACCCATCCTTAATCTTGTTCCAGCCTATATCCTATTCTCATCTTTCCATTGTCCTCTACTTTTGCAGTTGTATAAAAGTATTCGTTCATGCATTTAGGGTACTTCCCTCTGCAGTCTCTTGTAACTAAGCTTGTCCCTGTGGAAATTTGGAAACTTAGCCCATGCATTGTTAAGAGGCACAGTTCTGTGTGTATGAGGCTTCTGTCTGCTTCTGTGGCCTGCTCCCACCCAGATAGTCTCTTCTGTTACAACTTCGTGCATCGTTCTTGGGGGCTGGAAAAATCGGAGTCAGGGCTTCTATAAAGACTCCAGATGAAGATGTACTTTACTTGAAATTGTTATTATAACACTGTTTCCTGTGCCGTGTTTCTCTACAAAGTAAGCCTGGAGCCACGTTTTGGACTGTTGTCCCATGAGTGTGAATGTCACTTTGAACCCAAGACTACAGATGCTTGTGTGGAGTGGGGGTTGTGACATTGTACCTCCATACCTTTTCACCACTTCTTGTGAACTTTATTTTTTCAAAATTGAACTTAAGTGTTACCACCCCTACACCTACTCAAACAATAATTCATTCCCCCTCCTGCTCCCCTGTAGCAATTCGTATATACTTCTCTAATTACTGTTTTATATTACTTGTATACACGTTTTTCTCCTTAGACTGTAAGCTCCTCAGAGACTGGAAGCATTTTTCCATTTCTGGCATTAAGTATCTTAGTAGCATATAGTAAACACTCAGAAAATTTTGTTGAGTCAATAATGATCCTTGACTGATTTGTAATTAAGTTTAGATGAAGGAATCTGTATTTGTTGTCTCTAAAGCACAGAGTTTTATGTTTAGTTTCTCATATGCTTATGATTTCTTGAAGCATAAAAGGTTCAAGGACCATCCTATGAGATTTTGAAATATTTCCTAAAAAGAATGTCCTTAAATAAAAGCTCAACAAATATATTTTTTGAGTAAACATTAGAGAGAGAATCTGTTTCATCTGTAGGAAAAAAATCCAAAATTCTTGCTAAAACTTTGAAGGTATTCCATAATCAATCTCAACTTTTCAGCCTTCATTCCCAATCTATTTGCTGTATGCTCTTATCCTGCTCTAGCAAATATCTTCCTATTTTCTTTATAAAACAGTGTACTTTTCCACCTTATTGATCACTACCAGGGATTTCTTTCCTAACTCTTAGTTCTTCCCACTAACAATCCTTACTTTTGCCCACTGAAATACTGAAATGCCAAGTAGGCCATTCAAGGCGCAGCTGAAATACCCACCCCCTGCTTCACCCCCACCCCCTTTCTTTTTCTAGTTGGAGTTACTCTTGCTTTTGGATTCCTATGACACAAACTTATAGCAGGCATCACCTGCTTTGTATCATAGATACAGTTATTCTAAGAATGATGCAGTTCAAAGTTACAAATAAATGTCAAGTTAAACTAAATTTGTAAAATGGTGATTATATTTCGAAACAAATGAACCCATCTAATTTCTTATACTTCTTTTTTTGAAGTACAATTATACCAACTATATTTTATAGGACATAATATAATACATGTTTTAGAAGTTTTTATGTAAATTATTTGAAATATAAGTTAATGGAAAATTTATTTTGGAGCTTGAATAAAATAGAATTTCAAAGCTTGAAACATCTTTGGACTTTGTGAACACTTGTAATACAAAACAATTACTGTTTATGAAGTTTACTAGTAATACAAATACACAAAGTTTACAGAGAACTTTCATATCTCTTAATTCTTGACAATGACCCTGTGATACAGGTAGAGATTATCACATGTAATTTCTTTGGTGAGTAAACCGGCTCGAAGAGCTTAGGTTATTTACCAAAATCAAATAGTAAGTGATAAAACCAGGATTTGAGCCCAGGTTTTCTCAGTCTAAATACAGGAATCTTTCTAGATTACTATGATTCTCAGTTTTTTTAACTTTTTGGTCAAGGCCATCAAAAAGAATAATTTCCAACTAATATTTGTTACCTAAGAGTTTTCCCTTGTTCTGAATTGTCAATATGAAGCTTTTCTTAAAATTAAACTTTGACTTAGCTAATAAAATTTTTGGCTTTTTTTCTCCTACCATACAATAAATTTGGCAAATAAGTTTCTTATAAACTTACCAGTATTTTGCAAATGCAACTATGCACATGTATTTAATGGTCATTTAGGTTTGTTAGCTTTTATAAAGGCTGAAAATGTGGTTTATTTGAGGCTGTATTGAAAAAATATACTTGAGCTTTTCCTAAAGCATAAAATAACATTGAGGGTGATTTAGCTAACACAATTAGTCAAGGATTCTCAAGAGAAATGTGGTTTAGATCTTTACAATATGCTTTTTTTTTTTAAGAGGATTTTCCCAGAGATAACATGAAATAAAATATAATCTCATTGCTATTTGATAGTAAATCCTAGCTTCCACAGATATTCTGATGAATTGCTTTCTACTAGGTTTATTTGATTTAAAAAACTGTTCTAATATAGAGAATTTCATCTGCAGAGAAAATCTTTTCTTGGTTAAGAGTTCCTCATATAGATAAACATACTGGGTCTCACATTTAATGGCAAAGTAAACAACAAAGTTATCACACAGCTATCATTTATATTAGGTGCTTAGTATGTTCTGGGCACTATTCTAAGAAATGTGAAGATCAAATTAGTTAATTAGTTAGTTTAATCCTCACATTAGCTCTACCATGAGTTTACTATTTCTATTCCATTTTATAGGAAAGGAAGGAGACAAAGTAAGTGATTTTTCTATCAAGGAAGGAAATTTGCAAGAGAGTAGTTTCAATACAAAAACTAAATTTGTATGTAGCTCTGTATTGAAGTAGGTAGGTATAGTCAGTCTGGACATTTTATGCTTATACATCTTAGTCCCTAGGAAAACCCAGAAAACGTGAATCTATCAGGTTCAACTGATAGATTCAGAAAAGGTGGAAAAATCAGTGAATTGTATGTGAAACACATTATTCTTAGTGGACTGCTTGTTAAAGGCAAGGAGAGTGTTAGTAAAGAGCTTAGCTAGATTAGAATAAAGAAATTGTCTCTCTCCATCTGTTCTAATTAGCTTATCTCACCAGCTTTTATAGCATGCTGGTTATTTCAGAAAAGAAGTGAGAGCTACTTTGAAAGGACAACCATTTTTCTTTACGCTAATTTATAATGGTTTTGAAGTGGTTGTTCATTCTCAAACATAGACTTTTAAATGTTAGGTCTTTCCTATAACTCGTTGTTATTGGAAGTTTCAAGGATTTGGACGCTCAGTTAAGGATTTTGTCCTCTCCTCATTCCTTTGGTTTTGGCCCAAATGATTATGTTTCCTCTTTTTGGGAAGATTTCTCTGGGTATTTTGATATTTGTCCTGATAGGAGACTTTCCATCGTTAACAGGTATTTAAAAATCTGCATTTGTTTTTATCTTTCCATGTTTGTAGTATATGCTCTTCAAAAATAACATTATTTGATGTGATTGCTGCAAGAAATTGAATCAAATACTACTTTATTAATCTTTGATATTGCTTCATTTAAGCCGTTTTAAAATATCTCCAATAATTTTGGTTTTCCCTCCTCATTAGTAATTTCCGGTTTAGACCTTTTTTTATTTTGTTGAAATTGGATGTGTATTTACTTGATTTTGATAACAATCTTGAATGAAAGGAGTGGGAGTTAAATGGAAAAAGATCGAATGCTTCACTCCTCTTTTCCTTAGATATGCCTGCCTGCCTATGATTTGGGCATTGGCTTCTATATCTTAATGTAGCATAAGCGTCAGTTTTTCTTTAGTTGTTACCTTTTGTACTGTATCTTCATCATCAGAAGACTTGACTATACTTTCATTCTGTAGCACAAACCTACTTATCTTTAGAGGAGATCCAAGAACCCAAGAGTGCAGTTTCTTTTCTCCTGCCTGAAGAATCAACAGACCTTTCTCTAGCTACCAAAAAGAAACAGCCTCTGGACCTCAGAGAAACTGAAAGACAGTGGTTACTCAGAAGGCGGAGATCTATTCTGTTTCCTAATGGAGTAAAAATCTGCCCAGATGAAAGTGTTACAGAGGCTGTGGCAAATCATGTGAAGTATTTTAAAGTCCGAGGTAAGCAAACATCCAAATCCTTCAGCTCCATAATGAAATTCAAACATAGTTTAATCATTTATTAGGTAACATTGTAAATTAAAGTTTATGATAATTTAGACAAGACTGAGCCAAAACTACCTTTCTACGGCTAAGAATATAGTGCTAATGTAACTTCAGAGAACAGTTTACATTAAGAGAGGAGGTATGTTTTTTTCCAGTGCCCTCCAACTAAGGCAATAGTAACATTTAATAGTGACATGCACTTAACCAAAGGAAGAATGTTCATGATTTGAGTTTGTAGCTTTTGGTGCGTTATGTAAGAAACTTTTTTCACATGAGGGCAGTCACAATAAGATGTCTTTCATTAATTTCAATAACATACTCAGAAAGGAAATGTCTTAAATCTTTTTAAGCACTTCAGAAATACCAGTTTATGTTTTGGACTACATTAATTTTAGTTTTTACTTCTTCTTTACAGTAAATGCCTAAGTACACTCACAAAATAGCTCTACCAAAGTATACTCACACGCTTGCCTATTTATTGATAGTTATTATATATACAAATATAATCCGTTTCTATATTTTATAGTTTAGATATTCTACAGATTCACACAGGTTGCTCTCTAGTTGGTACACATACAACTTTTTACATCTAAAGTGATGGCATTTCTGAAACTCACATTTTATTTTGTCTTTAATTAAACAGTATTCTTGATCTCATACTTTTTATGTAAGTCAATTCTGTTTCTCATATATTTACTAACATTGCTTAATTGACCTTAGTATGTTCCTTAGACATTTGAAGGATTCCCAAACTTTGCTTTTTACTGCTCAAGAACCAATAAAAAGCCATAATATGGATGTGATGTTAGTAAACAAGGTGGAGATAGATGATGAAGTGATTGTAAAATTAGGCTTTTAAATTCATGCATTTATTCATTAATTCATTCAACAAATGTTCATTGAACCCGAATTTTCCAGGCACTGGATTATATGAACCTTCTGTCTGAGCTGCTACTTTATCTTCTTTATTTTCCTCTTCCTGTCCTTCCCTTCTTCCCTTCTCATCAAAGTTTTAAAAACACAATAAAAATTTAATATAATACCAGCTATTACACATATTTATATATTTGATATTTTTGTTTGTTAAAGTAGTACAATGTATTATATTGGCAGCTCTTTTTTATGAGTGTATTTCTATTTCTTGATTGTATTTGGGAGCTATCAAACATTACTGTGCAATAAGCTTTCCTTTTGCTTTTTAAATGGAGATCCATAGACCTGGCATTTTGAATATAGGCCATATGCCAGAAATGGAAAATTCCAAAGACAGTGGGAAGAGAATAAAGGAACTGAAGGTGAATGAGAATGACAGTTAATTTATCAATATTTGATTTCTACCACCTGGATTTTTACTTTATATTATTATTATTGTTATTTATTGTTACTATTTTTTGGAACAGACTCTTATTCTGTCGTCCAGGCTGGAGTGCAGTGGCACGATCTCGGCTCACTGCATCCTCCACTTCCTGGGTTCAAGTGATTCTCCTGCCTCAGCCTCCCGAGTAGCTGGGATTACAGGCACATGCCACCACGCCTAGGTTTTTTTTTTTTTTTAGTAGACATGGTGTCTCACTGTACTTTATATTATTTTAAAATAAAAATATCTTGGTATTTTGGGAACTGATTAAATAGTGAAGAGGAAATAACCAATCATGTAAGGGATTTGGTCATAACTTTTGATTGACTTGCTCTTGTTTTTATAAATTCAAGAGATACTGTTGAAAAAGGAGCTGACAAAAATGAAGATAAAGCATTCCTAGAATAATTGATTTTAAAATACAGATGCTATGAATAGGATCCTTGAAAAGGGATCTCATACAGCTAAGATGGTTGGCACACGACATCAAGATTATAGCTGAGAGAGCTGTTACTGGTCATGGTAAAGAGTAAATATTTCATTCGTTATGTTTTTAAAATTTGAGATAAATGAGTATTTCAACATAGGTCTCGCTTGATTTTGAAGAGATAATTGTATTATGTCCTTAACACCAAATGCTTGCAATTTAGAGGGAGGGAGTTATTCAATGTCCAACTAAGGATCTTAGCTCTTTCTACCAAGCCAATTCAGTCTAATGGTTTGCTCAATTTTTCCTTCATACAGAATTTGGTATTAATTGCTAGTTTTTGTAACAAATTTGAAAAGTGTTTCTAAGGAAGACACAACTGTATTTAACCTAATGTTTTGTAAAATTAAACAGCATACTAGGATGCCCCTCTCTTTTTTTAAAAAAAAATTCGTTGTTGGACTTTTTAAAATATAGCTTTATTGAGGTATATTTTAATGGAATATAGCCTGCGTATATTTAAAGTATACTATTTCATTAGTTTTGACAAATGTACCCTTGAAACCATCTTATAGTTAAGAAAATAAACCTATCAATAACTCTTAAATGTTTCTTTATGACCATTTATAATGCCCACCTCCCTCACTACCTCTCCTTACCCCAATACTGAGGCAACCATGAATTTGCTTTCTATCACTATGTATTAGTTTGCATTTTCTATACATATATATATATATATATTCTTTTTGGTATATACTCTTTTTTTGATCTGGTTTCTTTTACTCAGTGTAATTATTTTGAAATTTATGCATGTTTTTTGTGTATCAATAGTTTGTTAGCTTTTATTGTTGGGTAGCATTCTATATTACGGATATACCACAATATGGGATATTTGGGTTGTTTTTAGTTATTACTGATTACAAGGAAAGAAATTATGATCATTTGGGTACAAGTTTTTCTGTGAACATATTTTCATTTCTATTGAGTAATAATAGTGGAACGTCTGGGTCACATGATAGGTATATGTTTAACTTTCCAGTAAATTGCCACGTCATGATAGGTATATGTTTAACTTTCCAGTAAATTGGCACGTTTTCCAATATGACTGTGTCACCAACAGTGTAGCAGGATCCCATTTTCCTCACATCCTCACAACACTTGGTATAGTTGGTCTTTTTAACTTTAGCCATTGTAGTGGATGTATATCTTATTGTGGTTTTAATTTGCATTTTCTTAACCGCTTATGACTAACAGTTTTGAGCACATTTTTAACATAATTATTTGTCATTTATAGACTTTTTCTTTTTGTGAGGAGTCTATTTGAATATTTTGCCCATTAAAAAATGGGTTGCTTGTCTATTATTGAGTTGTAATAGTTCTTAATGTGTTCTAAATATAAGTTCTTTGTCAAACATATATTTTGCGTACATTTTTCTCGCCATCTGTAGCTTGCCTTTTCTATTTTCTTAATGATGTCTTTTAAGGAGCAGAAGTTTTAACACTTGATAAAGTCAAATTTATCAGGCTTTTTGGGGGAGCATCCTTTTAGTTTTTGATCTTAGTTTGCATAACCCAAGATCACAAAGTGTTTTCTTTCTCAGTCTTTTCCTGTAGAATTTTTACAGTTTTTAGGTTCTAGATGTAGATCTGTGATCTGCTTTTATTTTTGATTATGACATATGGATCAAAGTTAATATTTTGTATACGTAGAGCTAATTGTTCCAATACCATTTGTTAAAAAAGATTATCCTTTCATGCCTTTGCACCTTTGTTGAAAATCATTGTTCATATACGGTGGATCCATTTCTGCACTCTTCATTCTGTTTCACTTATTTGTCTATTTTTATGCCAATACCATAGTGTCTTATTTACTGTAAGCTTTATTATAGGTCTTGAATCAGGTAGTGTAAGTCCTCCAACCTCTGTTCTTTTTTCAAATTTGTTTGGTTATGTAGTCTTTTGTATTCCATATAAATATTAGAATCAGCTTACCAATTTTTACAAAAGGGCTGCTGACATTTTGATTGGGATTGTGTTTCATTCTATAGATCAATTTGGGGAGAATTGCCATCTTAACAATACAGATTGACTATTTCTCATCCAAAATGCTTGGGGCCAGAAGTGTTGTGGGTTTCATATTTTCTTGGATTTGTGAATATTTGCATAGACATGAGATATTTTGAGAATGAGACTGAAATCTATACACAGAATTCATTTATGTTTCATATACACCTTATACACTTATCTGAAGTAATTTTATACAATATTTTTGATAATTTTGTACACAAAATAAGTTTTTGTGCATTTAACCATCAGAAAGCAAAGGTGTCACTATTTCAGGCACTCATGTGGACAATCTGTAGCTGTTTGGCATCATCATCATTCCTGACTCTGAATTTACATGCTACAAACAAGCAATCATTTTCTTATACTTATTTACATATTAGCACTTCACAGTGAAAAGTATGCTATACTGTTAATACAGTGAAGAAGAATGTGTTCAGGGTAACTAAGCAGAACAGTGGCATCACCAGAATACCTGCCTCAGCTGTTAAACAACAGTAACAACAAACGATGGAAGGCTTCTAGTTTCTCTCTACAATTCTGTGTTTTGATTGAAGGTTCTTGTACAACATACTTTATTTGTTACTGTTGTTCATGTGTCTGGGCTGCATGGGTGCCATTTTATGACCCTTTGTGGGTGTACTTGGTGGAGTAACCTGGACATGGGCAGAAAAGATATCACACAGCTGAAGGGAACTGGGAGAGTCTTTTCTTTCCCTTGGGTACTCTGAATAAACTGTCTAGTGTACCTGCATTTTTGACTATCACCCATCAAAAGAGGTCAGGTGTGGAATTCGCTACTTGTGGTATCATGCTGGCAGTCAAAAAATTTCATATTTTGGAGCATTTTGGATTTTTGGATTAGGGATGTTCAACCTATATTGAGTCTTCTGATCTATGAACATGATATATCCCTCCATTTATTTAGGTCATCTTCAGTTTCTTTCAGGAATGTTTTGTGATTTTTATTCATTCATTTATTCATTTGTTAATTTACACATGAAACCTCATTTATACTGATTCTATCAGGTATAGAATTAACCACAATAATTAAAACACTGTAGAGTGTGCAATAGTAAAGGTATGTACAAAGTGTATATGTGGGAA